AATGGCAAGTGGACGATTATGGATGATGGTACCCCGTTTATTGTGTATCAAGGAACAACGTTTATGGATCCGAAAAGTGCCTTCCCTGGATGGAAGTGGAGGACTACTATGGTTGGAGAAGGAGGAAGTGAATGGTTAGTAGTCGAGTTGTACTCAGACTACGCAGCAAGAAGGAGCCACAATGTACAGATTCCTGAATGCTATGGTGTGCCCAAGCGTGTGTGCACAATCCTCCATGCGACATGTGGAAACTTTTTCACATTCTGTACAGAGTTCAAGATGAACTTGATAGGCAGAGGACCAAACATCAGTACACCATTTCGGGAGCCAAAACAAAGAGTTCCCGACGAGCTGATGACGCCGGTGGTTCCGGTGAAGGTAGCTCCAGGCAGCAGGCAGGAGCCAAGGAGTCTTAGGACCAACGTACCACGGGGATGGCAATCCTTTGTCAGAACTGGAGATGCAAAAGTCTGCATTGAAGCTGGAAAAGGATAACAAGGAAAAGGCTCGAGTGGAAGCTCAACCAACAGAACCCAGTGAACAGGAAAGGCTAGAACACGAAGCAACACACATTCCGTTTCAGCATTGGTGTGAGAGTTGCGTAGAAGCCAAGAGTAAACAGGATCACGAGAAGAAGAATCCTGAAGCTGGAAAGGACGCTCAAGGTAGCCCGTATCCTATTATACAGTTGGACTTTATGTTCTTGCAAGGAAAGGATACCCCAGCATTGGTTGCGATTTGTTCATGGACCCGGATGTCAGTGGTTATTCCTGTGTCAGGAAAACAAACAGAAAGAAAGACTGTGGAGAAAGTCTTGAAGTGGGTGCACAGCATTGGACATCTGGAAGAAGTAGGATTCGTTGGAGATTCAGAGGAAGCCATGGTATCCCTTGTGACAGCTGTTGTAGAGACAAGGAGAAAGATGAATCGGAAAACTCATGACCAGAATAGCAAACCGTATCAGAAAGGCAGAACTGCACGTGTCGAAAGGTTTATTCAGACGGTCAGGAACCAAACAGTATGTCTTGTGAG